ATATGATTATCTGGTGAAGTTTAATTTTATATCGAGTATAAGGAAAATTGTTACCTTAAAGTTAAAGTGTGGATTTTGAGTATATCTTTTTTTTTTTGTCAGTCGTTCTCATTTTTTATGCCAAATTCATTCCAAAAATTGAGAACGATTTTGTTTTTGTTATGTTTTAACAGAGATTTGAAATTTTAGTTGAATCTTTTGTAAAACATATTTATAAAAATAATTACGTTTAAAAAAAAAACAACAACGATATTCGATCATTTGTAGATATAAAATAACTAAATGAATTGGAGGACATGTAAATCACGGTTTTTAAATGAAAAATATGTTTCATAAAAAAAGTGATAAGAAAATGATTCAAAATGATAAAAAGAAAATGTATATTATAACAAAAAGATGTTTACATGAGTAGTGGATTAGCGAATCGAAAATTGTGGCAATTTAAAAAAAAAATGTTACAATGATTGAAATGAAATCTTTAGAATATTTTTTACTTTTAGTTAAGTTGCATATATTGCATAACTATCTATGAAAAAAATAAAATATTTAAAGTTCAAATAGCGATTTATTTATATGTATATAATAAAGTGTACAATCCAAATAATTAAATTTTATTTAGCATTTATATTATTAATATTGATACCGTGATTATTGTAAAGTCCAACTCTCATTTTTACGGTAAATATATATTATGTTAAAATGAATTGATAAGTCTAAAAAGAGATATGGATTGAATTAAAAAGATTGAATTGTGGTTAAATATATTGGTATCATAATTATACTATTTTTAAAAAGATATTCCATAACATTTGGTTCCATAATAATACTAAATAAAAGTGATTCCAAATAGCCGGATTTATAGTGTTTAATCATATATTATGGTATATCTTTTTAAAAAGGGTTAATTGCTAAATAACCTTAACCTTTTTGCGTTTGACAATTTTATCCCAAACTTTGGGTAATTGCAATATAATCTAGACCCCAATTTACTTATTGCAATTTGAACTTAAAACCGGTTGGATCTTCAAAAAACTGGTCGATTTGAAGGCGGTTCGAACAGATCGGAGCTCATATATACCGGTTCACTCCAGATCTAGGAGGAGACCCATCACCGGTAGCTTACATTGACGTGGAATTTTCGGATTTGTACGTGGATATACATTAAATACATGGAAATTGTCAACTTGCTACGTGGATGACATAAAAACCCGTGTCAATAGAAGACTTGGGACACAAAATCTACCCACAAATCCCTAAAAATCAATCACTTTGCACCCAAATTTGCAATAATTAAATTGAGGTCGAGATTATATTGCAATTACCTAAGGATTGGGATAAAATTGTCAAACGCAAAAAAGGTTAAGGTTTATTTAGCAATTAACCCTTTTAAAAATATCTAATTATTAATTTATTTTTATTTCTTATTTATATTTTGTTTTTGCCAATTGATAATATTATGTTTGAACACATTGTGCACGCAGATAGTTTTTTAGGTATAAAGTTGTGAACTTAACAAATGTCTTATGTGGTTCACAATCCATATAAAACAATTGGTATTTGTCAAAATTTATGTGATAACAACATTTATGCATTGTGAATGCTCTTATTTTGTTTTAAATAATTTCAAATATACTTCTATCCATTCAAAAATAAAATTCATACTATTTAAATTCGAACATTTCATACCAAAAATAAATCACCCACTTTATACCACAAAATCAGACATTTATTATTATAACACATTTTCTACGAAAAAATAAAAATGACTATCAGATACTTAAAATAAAATCATCAATTTTATACCAAAATTGAATTTATTAATTTTGTCAACTTTATACCATAAATTTATTAAGTATTTTCTAAAGGTCATTTCTACATGTTGTCCAAAATATTTTTTGGCAGCACATAAATATTATTTATATTTTTGTATTTGGTTATCTTATCTACGAAGAAAAAGATAATCTTGCAACTCTACTATGCCAACAAAAAGATGTATAAAAAATAACATAAGTATTAATTTATTATGTTTTACTCAATACAGGAAATATAATATAGAAATAAAGATTAATGATTAATTTTCTATAATTTCTCAATCAAGTCTATATATTTAAAGAATTCGAAAGTTTCTATAATACCCTCATATTTGTTTCCATAAAACTAAATCATCCTAAATTTACATTCAACTAATAAAGGTAATAACCATAAAAATTTGACTAAAAAGATTATGTAAATTAATTACATTGATTTTTGTTAATTTACTATATTTAGATAATAATTAATGAAATTGGCGGGAAAATGTTTCTAAAAGTGAATTATGTTAATCCTTATTATATATTAATAGATTCGCTCCAAAACCCATTTCATATACTAAAATTGAGTTAGCCACTAAAAGATAAGCTTTCAGAATTATTCTGATTAAATAAGATTGTTAATAACACTCATTTCAATGTAGCTGATGACATATGTTATTATAACTAATAAGAATATGGCCTACTTAGCTAGTAATTATATGAAATAGAAAAAGCTTTTAATGTTTAATTTAAGGTAATTAACAGCCTAAGGATGATTAGTTGATGGCTAATCCATAACTGTTGATGCGAATTAAGGATATGAATGGACTGCTTAACTTATACATGAGAATTTGATAGATGTTGGGTGGGGGTGGGTTAATTACAAGGAAGGAGCTGGGATGTCATTTATCATGTTTGGTCCCGGGTTTGACCTTTTTGTGATAACAGTGACTCGGGCTCGATGTAATTGGGCTAAACGTAAGCGTTTGTGAACTTTATGTATATATAGACTCAAGGTCCATATATTATGGGCTTGGATGTTTTGTGACACGGCCCAATAATTTGGTTATCTATGTTTCTTTGAGTATCATGAGCAACATTCCTGCTAAAGAAAATGGAAGATGTATCCCAATTCATTTTTTTTTTTATTTTTTTTTTATGTTTTGTAAAACTAGTTGATAGCTGATAAGATAGCTTATAACTTATATGTAATTTTCGAGCTTACAGCTTATAGATTATGACTTATAACTGAAAAGTTAGTTTATATGATAAAAGTATTTGGTAAAATTAGTTGATAAGCTAGCTGGAATAAAAAGTTCAACTAGCTTATTTGAAAAGCTACCTAAACAAGCTTATAAGATAAGCTTGAGCTTTTTAAAAAGACTAGTCCTACCAAACGAAGCTTATTTGAATACATGAAACTTATAAGCTAACAAAATAAACTATAAGCTAGCTTATTTGGTTTATCAAAAAAACGTAGGATCCTTGCTTAAAATCGTGGTGCAATGTAGTGGGGTTGACATTCACTATTCCAGTGATTGTTACTAAGTGAAACGCACTATGAATAATAAGGCATGTGTTCTTGCAAAAATGAAGTTGTGGTTAGCACTACCTTGTGTATATACATATATCCGTTTATCGTATGTTCCTTGGGAAGTTAGAATTTCAAAGTTGGTCTCGAACTATCTACGTTAATCTTGTCAAAGTTGAGAAGGAAAAGATTTTTTGAATCTAGTGTATCTTGTGTGCGATTTTTATTCCTTATTTTTATTTTTCATCCTTAGGCATATTTGCATATGCTTTCCTTCTTGAACGTGATCTATTTGAGTCTAAAATTTTGTGGAGAATATATGCTCAAAGATAAAATCAGATTTCTTTCCTAAGTTTCGAAATAATGTGAGCAGTTATTTGTGTGAGGAGTCTTATTGTGTTTGAATTTTTGATTTGGAGGGATCAGTTTCTTGCTATCAACCGCCCAGGTTTGCAACGTCTCTTTCTCTCTCATCACCTTGAAACTCGAAAACTGCCTTTTTGCAGTTCACTCTGTCAGAACACTTTATATCCGTCACGATTCTCCACCTTTTAATCATACCTTCTTCTTCGATTGAAATTAATCTATTCTCTCCTTCTCCTTTTCAACTCTACTGAAACCCTATTTTCTTCAAACTTAATCGTCGCCCTTCTCCCATGGCTGGAAGTAAGGACAAGTCGAAGAAAAGGCTCAAGAAACACAAAGAAAAGAGGTTGAAGCACCGCCGCCTCTCTCTCACTACTAGCTCTGCACGTGAATCCACGCCACTGGCAAAAACACCAACCCCTGAATCGTCTCCTCCGACAAAGTCTGTTACACTCTCCTCCTCTCCGTATGGTTCCCCGTTTAAGTCAGACAACATCGGCAAGAATCTTGAAATCTCTCCACTGGCCACTGGAGTACCCGACCTCTCTGGGTTTGTTGAACCTCCTGCGGTTCATGATCAGGGGGAGTCATCTGTTGTTCCGACTTCTGCAAACAAGTCTATCACCGAGGGTGACAAGGATGATACCACAACTACAACTGTTGAAGTTCACTCAGACCAACCCACTCCTCCTCCAAGGGCCCCGGTGCGCCGTTCCACTCGCCGCAGAGGCAAGGACCCCATAAATGAAAATCTGGTGCCTCCAGAACCAGAGGATGACGCCTATGACCTCGAAAATGCCTTTACTAACCGGTTCTATATCGAGGCCTTTCATGTCAGGTTTGAGCGTCTTAAGTCTTATGGGTTTTGGAGTGAACATCCTCTTAAGAATGATAAATTTGTTGAACTTGGTGTTCTTCCTCTTATTAATTCTGTTGGGTTGTCAAAAACTGTTGTGGATCTTAGTTCCTTCTGTGACCAAGTTGTTTGTGAATTTTTTGCCAATCTTACCTCTGCTGTCTTTGAACATGGTAGTCCTTGTTTTCACAAACTCTTTTTGCGTAATCGTATTATAGATTTTTCGCCTACTTTGATCAATGCTCACTTGGGTATTCCCTCTGCTATTTCACCTTTGCCTTATGTTGATCTTGATGTTGTGACCCAAGTACTTACTGCCAACCAGCTTGATACCTGGCCTGGGTCAAACCTTCATGTTAACTCTTTGTGCCTTGTTGCTAATTTACTTCATAAGGTGGGTGCAGGGAATTGGACCCCCACGTCCAATAAGACCTTGCTCATTGAGTTGCAAAGCAAGGTTATCTATTGGGTGATGGTGGGGTCAGGCCTTTAGTTTTGGGGAGGTTGTGTTTGAGATTCTTCAGCCATTCATTGTCAGTATCGAGTCTCGTCGTTCCTTGCCTTTTCCCTGTTTGATCTGGTCATTTCTCACTGCTCAGAATTTCTCTTTGAATCCTCGGTACAATGACTCTCTTAAGCCTCCTGGTAAGGATCTGGTTGTGAGCAACCGTACCTTGAGTGAAAAATCTGCTCCAAAGCAGGACCTGACTCCTTATGTGGTTCCCACCAAGTGGGAAGAGTTTGCCATCCAGCAGTTGGGTGAATGGGATGATCTAGCCAAGAAGGTTGCAGCTCAACAGTCATATCTTCGTCAGGTTCTTCAGGCTGTAAAAGGGAAGCAGCGAAAGAACACGGGGACAGGCCCTTCGGCATCCTGTAGTTCGAAAAAGGGGGAGAAAGCCTCAAGCAAGAAGAGTGTTGCTGCTGATGATGATGAGGACACAGATTTTGGGGGAGATAGCACTGACGAGGCAATTGTGAAGTATTATGATGAGTAGTAGTTTGCTTTCTGTGGAGGGATGTAGTGAGGACTTTATGTAATAAAGAACCTCTTATTTTGTTTGCTTTTGTGATGTGGTTTTGCTGCTACTGTCTTTAGTCATCTTGGATGTACTTGTTCTGATGCTAGTGATGACTGCTTATTTTGATTGAATGGAAACTTGTTAGATTTATTCTGTTGAGTTTTGATGGCTGCAGGAACTGAGGGAGAGAACTGTGATTATACAATGACCATTTTTCTGTGTGAACTAACCCCTTGATGTGGTTTGTTATTTGGTGCTTGTTGTTTTAATTTCAGGAGACTTTCAAGTCTGATGTTTTCGAACTAGATGCCAAAGGGGGAGATTGAAAGATATTTTTATTTGGCATTAGTTCGTCAGTTCGAACAAGCACCTGGAACCACAGAAAAAGAAAAGATCTTCAAATATTTTATTTCCTTAATTGAGTTTATTTTATATTCCATATATATAAGATATTATGGATCTTATTATGGTATTTTATTGTGCATAAAGTCGGACATGAAAGAGATAAAGAAAGGAAGGAGCCGTGCATAGTTAGGGGATCAAGGAGAGAGAGAATGAAAGATTCACTTACCAAAAACAAGCTACAATTATGGAAGGAGATCAAGCTTGGAGTCTTATGCCTTGTAGAAGACTCCAACCCTAAGGAGTTCATATATATATATATATATATATACCCTAGAGGAAGCTCTTATTGCGGCTGCTGAATATCGAGAAGATTTTAGAGTAATAATCGAGCTTCATATATTTTCTGTTCTATTCAGTTGTACACAATTCAGTACGAGAGTTCTTACACACTCAAGGACTGAAGTTGTTTTGTTTAGTTTCTTTGTATTCATCAAACTATCATTTACTTTTACACTTAGGGAGTAAGTGTAGGTTAAAAAGTCCACGAGACGTGGCCGGAGAAATAGTTGATAAGATCTGAGTGTTGGCTAGGCTTGAAGGGAGTTCGAGTCTTTGTAAGTCCAAGCTATGTTCATATTTGATCTATCAATGAAAGAGCTCTGAGGGGAAGTGGGATACTTCCCTGAAGAGTTTTTTCAAATCTTCGGTTTATTGCTTCCGCATTTTTAAGTTCTTAATTTAGTTCGTACTACAAATAGCGCGCTCCGTGATAATTATACGTTTCACGGATCTACAGGGGAACCGACTAATCCGGAATCGAGTCGGGTAGGACCACAAGAGCGACAAAGCTCTCCCTCAAGAGTTTTAACATTGTTGCATTCTCAGGGCTCGAACACGAGACTACTAATTAAATTGGAAGAGACCCAAGACATCATCCAAGTGCTCTTGGGTAAAATTTTCAATTCCTTTTCTTTTCTTTTATTTAATATTTTTCTAAATATTTAATTCCTTTTTTTTCTTTTAAAAATGTTTTTTATTTCATTATTTAATATTTTTCTAAATATTCAATTCCTTTTCTTTTCTTTTAGGAGTTTTATCAATACAAGGCCTGAAAGATAGGTAAACTATCAATGCGCGGCTTGAAATTTTTTTTTTTCTCAATTCGGGACCTAAATGTTATAAAACTATCAAATTAAAGATCCGAAAGATGGGTAAACTATCAATACGGGGCTTGAAAGATTATTTTTCTCAATTCGGGACTTAAATGTTATAAAACTATCAAATTAAGTATAGAATTAAAAAAACTCATAACACAATTAAATCTAGAGTTTAAAAAAAATAATATTTAATTATTATATTTATTTTCATATTCATTCACATTTTCTAAAATTTTGCATTCTTCCATCAATTTTTCTAGTCTTTAACTCACTTTTTCATTTAAACATTTTTACATAATTATAACCATTCGTACTCTTGAGTGTTTATAATATTATTATCCTCATAAATATTTGTGTTTGTTGTTAAAAAGAATAAAAAATATTCATATTAAGTAATAATTAATATGATTTTTATATTTAAATTGACTATTATGCTTATTGAAATTTCATTCATATGCATTGATAGTTTAAAAATGTTAATGAATATGAAATAAAATCTAATAATTAAATATTATTTTTTTTTTAAAAAAAAATTAATCACCAATCTTTTGTTTTGTTTTTTTTTTTAAATCTAAATTTAATGGTGTTTTGAGTTTTGTTAATTCTAGACTTAATTTGATAGTTTTATAACATTTAAGTCTTGAATTGAGAAAAAAAATCTTTCAGGCCTCGCATTGATAGTTTACCCATCTTTCGAGTCTTTAATTTGATAGTTTTATAACATTTAGGTCCCGAATTGAGAAAAAAAATCTTTCAGACCCCGCATTGATAGTTTACCCATCTTTCAGGCCTTGTATTGATAAAACTCCTTTCTTTTATTTATGGTTTTCAATCAAGTTGCAGGCTCTCAGAATCTGCATTTTTCATCCAACGACTAAGCATCACCCTCTAAGTTCGTTCCTTAGGAATCAACGGCTGATCACAGTGGTCCACACATGACGCGGATCGTAACTTATGACCGTCGATAAGCATTTCAATCTGACGGCTCACAATCAGCCCCACACTACAATCACCAGCTATATATACAGTCGAACCCCACTTCTCACCCTTCACACCAACCATCACCATTTCAAAACCCTCCAAATTCCTAATTTTAACAAATCGGAAAAAAAGTGTGAAACCAGACACAAATCCAAAAATGTCGGGCAGAGGCAAGGGCGGGAAGGGGCTGGGCAAGGGCGGCGCCAAGCGCCACCGCAAGGTGCTGAGGGACAACATCCAGGGCATCACCAAGCCGGCCATCCGTCGCCTGGCTAGGCGAGGCGGCGTGAAGCGCATCAGCGGCCTCATCTACGAGGAGACTCGCGGTGTCCTCAAGATCTTCCTCGAGAACGTCATCCGCGACGCTGTCACCTACACAGAGCACGCACGCCGGAAGACGGTGACGGCGATGGACGTCGTCTATGCGCTCAAGAGGCAGGGACGTACTCTCTACGGGTTTGGCGGTTAGGTTCCTAGGGTTTGATTTTCACCGACCGGATGTATATCTTTTAAATGCCTAATTCCCTACTAATTTGAAGTTATGTCTGTGTAATTGAGCTTCGATTGTTTGGATATTATCTTGTTTTGATGAATGAAATTGAAGATTGAGATTCTCCTTTATTACTTATGGTTATTCCTGTATAGTACTACGAGCAAAAATTAAAAAAAAAAAAAAAAAAAAAAAACTGAAAGGATTTGGGAACAAATTAATTTGGTTCTTCATTGGGTTATATTATGATTAAAATTCCAGTTATCAAGATTTGAACTTTTATCTTTAAATTTTATTATGGTCTTGCTAGGTTTTGTTATGTCCTCTACTATTTCTTCTTTTAAACTAAATAGTTACTGACATTCCCATCTGTCAGTTAAACTGCTGGTATGAATTGAGGCTATTGAGCTGTATCAGATTGTTAATAGTTATTGGGATTCCCATTTGTAAAACTGGTGGTATGAATTGAGCTGTATCTGGTGTGTGGTATGAACTAGAAGAAGATTATTTGCATCTGGAGTTTGTAAATTGCTAATCTGTTTTGTATTTTGAGACATGAACAAGAAGATGAATTTTACAAACACAGAATGAATTCCAGAGAGCAAAATGCAGAAAAAATTAACGGACATAGAAAGAATTTCCAGGGTGCAGAATGCACAAAAAAAGTTGACAAGTGGAGATGCGGGGTATCGATCCCCGTACCTCTCGCATGCTAAGCGAGCGCTCTACCATCTGAGCTACATCCCCTATGTTGACAATGTTTTATATATAGCATTTAATGAATATGTTATCCAGTAACTAAATAACAGGACCAAAATTATTGTTCTATCTGCTGCAGATCATTATCAGTTTCCCTTGGGCCTTGTACATGGGCATCCAACAACATACATAGCTAATCATTAGATTCCAATTTCAACTTCCAAGGCCCAAATGTCCATCTAAATGGTTTGGCAAAATTTACATGATGTCATATATTGCAAAAATAGATACTATAATACATGGACAAATGTATGACATATATTTTAAATGAAAAAAAAAAAATCATTCTTATAAATAAATTTAAACAAAAAATTGTTAAAAGACAGCAACGTACTTTTTTTTTTTTGGTACAAAAAAGGAGGCCGAAGCCTATATTGCTACTCGACGAGGGTACGCGACCCCGATATTATCATGCTCGAGCCAAGTTCCCAACTCTCGAGGAGGGGAAAAGACAGCAACGTACTTTGCACAATAGAGAGTACTTTGTGTTTGATCTCCCTAATGTCTTCTCCTGTCAATATCCAAATCGGCCAAGCATTATTATTGCTTTAACATTTATATTTTGCATGCCCACTCATTCATGGAAACACTGCTTAATTGTTTTTTCCCCTACTTGAAAATGTATAACTGAGTGGTCCAATGGTTGTTGTGATTGTTTATCTTGGGGAGATTATACAGAACCATTTGTTAGCCACCAATTTTGACAATTGCAGCAGCCCCAATTGCAGCAGCCCTCGTGCTTATTTTTTTTAAAAAAATGGAGCAACATCTTGTGGAAAAATTGCAGCACAATTTTGTAGAAAAAAAGGTGCATCTCCCTTCTATAAATAGAGGAGAATTCTGAAGAAACAATACACAACAAAATACAGAGAAAGAGAGAAAAAATGAGTAAGCTAGAAAAGAAAATTTTAGCTTCTGTGTGTATTTGTGTTGTGAGTTGTGAGTGATTTTGAGAGTGTTTTGTAAACATGAGTGTATTTCTTTTTCCCGATAAAATATCTGCAGTAGTCTGAAGACGTAGGCATTATTGGCCGAACTCTGTTATCAATTTGGTATGTCCAATTTTTATTTTTTATTTCACTTTTATTGATCTAACTTCATGGAAATTTCAGCGTATTTTTCCTAACAACTGGTATCAGAGCCAAATTGTTAATTCTGTAATTTTTTTTGTATGGGTTACTATTCTGTGAATAGTGAAAAACGTGAATAGTGTCAAATTTGTCGGCGCTACAAATTTATCTACCGACGTGTTCTTAAACACGGTAGTTTACAAAATTCACAGAAACGATCCGACAGAGAAGTCAGATCATAGTTGAAGTGATGGCTGCAGACGAAGGAAAAATGAAAATTGAAAAGTTCGATGGTGCGGACTTTGGCTTCTGGAAGATGCAGATCGAGGATTATCTGTACCAGAAGAATATGTATCAAGCACTCACGGGAAAGAAGCCAGAAGACATGAAGGAGAAAGAATGGAGTCTCCTTGACAAACAAGCCCTTGGAGCCATTCGGCTGACGTTATCCCGTAATGTTGCTTTTAACATTGCAAAAGAAAAGACGACAGCAGGCCTCATGAAGGCTCTTTCCAACATGTACGAGAAACCATCAGCCTCAAATAAAGTCCATTTGATGAGGCGATTGTTCAACCTGCGAATGAGCGAAGGTGCTCCGGTGGCAAATCATCTCAATGAACTCAACACAGTTACAACCCAGTTGAGTTCAGTTGAGATCGAGTTCGATGATGAAGTACGGGCTTTAATACTTTTGTCTTCCCTAACAGAAAGCTGGAATGCTACAGTCACAACTGTGAGTAGCTCATCGGGAACCAATAAGTTGAGATTTGATGATGTCCAAAATTTGGTTCTCAGTGAAGAGATCTGGCGGAGGGAGTCGGGTGAACCATCAACCTCTTCTATATTGCATACAAAGACGAGAGGAAGAAGTTCAACCAAAGAAAGCAAATATATCAAACCAAATGGAAGAAGATCCAGGTCCAGAAATCATCGTAGTTCCCAAAACTCGAAGTCGATCGAGTGCTGGAATTGTGGGAAGACCGGGCACTACAGAAATCAGTGCAAGAGTGCACCGAAGGGTCATGAGGCAAAAGAAGAGGCAAATATTACTTCAACCTCTGGAGGAGATTCGCTGATATGTTCTTTGGAGAACGGAGAAGAGTCTTGGGTGTTAGACTTTGGAGCATCCTTTCATGCTACCTCACAGAAGGAACTATTTGAGAATTATGTTCCTGGAAATCTTGGTAAAGTTTACCTTGGTAATGAGCAATCATGTGAGGTTGTCGGCAAAGGTGCAGTAAAAATCAAGTTGAACGGGTCTATTTGGGAATTGAAAAATGTCAGACATATTCCCGACCTGACGAAGAATTTAATCTTCGTGGGCCAGCTAGCCAGTGAAGGCTACACGACAATCTTCCATGGTGACGATTGGAAGATTTCAAAGGGTGCAATGACAATTGCTCGAGGCAAAAAGAGTGGTACTCTTTACAAGACAACATGAGCATGTCATCTGATTGCAGTTGCAGCAAATGAAAATCCCAATCTATGGCACCAAAGACTTGGGCATATGAGTGGAAAAGGGATGAAGATAATTCACTCAAGAAAATTACCAGGCCTCCAGTCAATAAAAATTGACATGTGTGAAGGTTGTATACTTGGAAAGCAGAAGAGGGTCAGCTTTCAGACAAGTAGAAGAACCCCAAAGAAGAAAAAGCTTGAGCTTGTCCACTCCGATGTTGGGGTCCAACGACTGTCCCATCAGTTGGTGGGAAGCAATACTTCGTAACTTTTATCGATGATCACTCCAGAAAGGTATGGGTTTACTTTCTGAAACACAAGTCGGAAGTATTTGAAGCTTTCAAGATTTGGAAAGCTATGGTGGAGAATGAGACAGGCTTGAAGATCAAGAAGCTCAGATCCGACAATGGTGGCGAATACGTAACCACCAGATTCAAGAAGTTTTGTTATGAGCACGCGATCAGAATAGAGAGAACCGTGCCTGGTACGCCTCAACACAATGGTGTAGTTGAGCGTATGAATCGAACGTTGACTGAAAGAGCCAGAAGCTTGCGTGTGCAGTCAGGCCTACCAAAGCAGTTCTGGGCAGAAGCAGTCAACACAACAACTTACTTGATCAACCGAAGTCCATCGGTACCATTGGATCACAAGTTACCAGAAGAGGTATGGAGCGGAAAAGAAGTAAAACTCTCACATCTTAGAGTTTTTGGGTGTGTAGCATACGTGCACATCAGTGATCAAGGTAGAAACAAACTTGATCCAAAATCTAGGAAATGTATTTTCCTTGGTTATGGTGAAGATGATTTTGGCTACCGCTTATGGGATGATGAAAACAAAAAGATGATCCGCAGCAAAGATGTCATCTTTAATGAAAGAGTGATGTACAAGGACCGACATAACACAAGTGCCAGCAACTCAGAAGCGAGTGGGTCAGTTTATGCAGAGGTGGAAGATATCCAGACATTCCCATAATAAGGAATCCTCAGTCAGATGAATCAAATGAAGAAAGCGGTGAGCAATCAAAACCTTCTACTCCAACTCCTGTATTGAGAAGGTTCTCTCGGCCCCATGTTCCTAACAGGAGATACATGGACTACATGTTGTTGACCGATGGAGGAGAACCTGAAGATTATTGGGAGGCTTGTCAAACCCCAGATGCTAGCAAGTGGGAGCTTGCCATGAAGGACGAGATGAAGTCCTTGATCTCAAATCAAACATGGGAACTAGTCAAGTTACCCATGGGAAAGAAAGCACTTCACAACAAATGGGTGTATCGGGTGAAGGAACACCATGATGGTTCCAGGAGATACAAAGCCCGACTAGTTGTCAAAGGATTTCAGCAGAAAGAAGGACTTGACTATACTGAAATCTTTGCTCCAGTTGTAAAGCTCAATACTATCAGGACTGTGTTAAGTATTGTAGCTAGTGAAGAGCTCTACCTAGAGCAATTGGACGTGAAGACTGCATTTCTTCACGGAGACCTAGATGAAGAGATCTATATGCACCAGCCTGAAGGTTTTTTAGACGGAAAGAAGGATATGGTGTGCAAATTGAAGAAGAGCTTGTACGGCCTGAAACAAGCTCCAAGACAATGGTATAGGAAGTTCGAAAGCTTCATGCACAAAGAAGGTTTCCCAAAGTGCAATGCTGACCACTGTTGTTTCTTCAAGAAATATGAGTCCAACTACATCATATTGCTACTTTATGTTGATGACATGTTAGTAGCAGGATCAAATATGATAGACATCAGAAATTTAAAGATGCAGTTGTCAAATGAATTTGACATGAAGGACTTAGGCCCAGCGAAGAAGATTCTTGGAATGCAAATCACGAGAAATAAGCAAAAGGGAGTTTTGCAGTTATCTCAGGCAGAGTACATCAACCGTGTTTTGCAGAGGTTTAACATGGACAAGGCTAAACCAGTCAGTACATTTTTGGCCATCCATTTTCGTTTATCCAAGGATCAGTCTCCTCAAACAAAGGGAGAAGAAGAGTTTATGGCTAAGATTCCTTATGCTTCAGCCATTGGAAGTTTGATGTACGCGATGGTCTGTACGAGGCCAGACATTGGCCATGCAGTGGGAGTTGTGAGAAGGTTTATGTCAAAACCAGGAAAAGCTCACTGGGAAGCAGTCAAATGGATTTTGAGATATCTACGGGGCACAACAGAAAAGTGTCTGTATTTTAGGAAAGGAGATTTAAAGATACAGGGCTACGTGGATGCAGACTTCGGAGGTGAAGTTGATCACCGAAGAAGCACCACCGGTTATGTTTTCACTGTCGGAGCTACAACTGTTAGTTGGATGTCGCGGATACAAAATATTGTTGCTCTATCCACTACAGAGGCTGAGTACGTAGCAGTAACAGAAGCCAGTAAAGAATTGATATGGTTTCAAGGATTGTTAGCAGAGTTGGGTTTCACTCAAAAGGAGAGTGTCTTGCACAGTGACAGTCAGAGTGCAATACATCTGGCAAAGAACTCAGTGTTTCATTCCAGAACTAAGCACATTGACATACGATATCATTTCATCAGATCTCTACTTGAGGATGAAGTGTTGACTTTGAGGAAGATTGTAGGAAGCAAGAACCCAACAGATATGCTAACGAAGGTGGTGGCCATTGACAAACTGAAGTTGTGCTCCACTTCAGTGGGCCTGCTAGAGTAACAGACCGAAGAAGACTACTGCAGTAATTGAGGTGTGAGGACAGATTGAAATCAGTCCTCAAGTGGGAGATTGTTAGCCACCAATTTTGACAATTGCAACAGCCCCAATTGCAGCAGCCCTCGTGCTTATTTTTTTTAAAAAAGTGGAGCAACATCTTGTGGAAAAATTGCAGCATAATTTTGTGGAAAAAAAGGTGCATCTCCCCTCTATAAATAGAGGGGAATTTTGAAGAAACAAAACACAACAACAAAATACAGAGAAAGAGAGAAAAAATGAGTGAGCTAGAAAAGAAAATTTTAGCTTCTGTGTGTATTTGTGTTGTGAGTTGTGAGTGATTTTGAGAGTGTTTTGTAAACACGAGTGTATTTCTTTTTCCCAATAAAATATCAGCAGTAGTCCGGAGACGTAGGCATTATTGATCGAACTCCATTATCAATTTGGTTTATCCAATTTTTATTTTTTATTTCACTTTTATTGATCTGACTTCATGGAAATTTCAGCGTATTTTTCCCAACACCATTTCGTCGGAGTTTGTAATCGTTAGATTAACTATCCATGACAGTTACAGGATGATCTAACTGTTTCAAATCCGACGGAATGGTTCCGTAACAGGAGTGTAGTATTTCCTCTTATCTTGTTTACATATGATAATATATAATTATAAAATAATTTAAATATTTGACAAGATGAAAGTTCATTGGATTATTCAATAACAAGCCATGCTTAGTGCTTAGACAATCAATGAAGCTTAATGCTATAATTAGGGTGAGATTTACCAAACAAAAGTGGTCAAACTAAAGAAGGGCAATGCTATATGTACACCCCCTTTTAATAAATTACACAAAGAAAAGTGCTATATGTACACCCCTTTTTTACACACAAGGGGGTGTACATATAGACACCCCCCTAAAGAAAGGAGAGACAACATCATTCATATGCATATCATTGCTTGGACATAAAGAGACAACACATGACATCTTTCTTTTCTTTGTTACATAATCCTTGATTTTCTTTTCTACTATTATCAATAATGCACAATTAGACAAACTTAAATGATTTTACGATCATATTTTTTCAATAAATATTCATATTTTTAAATGTAAATATCACACTCTAATAAAATTATGACGTTTTATAGTATAAATACGCATTTTTATTGGAAAAAAGTATTACATATCACACAACTTATAGAAAATTTTGTGAAAATTTTAATTCACGCACACGAATTACATGTAAAAATTGTTTCCGTTTGAAAGTCACTTATAATTTATTAACTATACTAATTGTATTGATCCAATAATCAAACTTAAAAAAAAAAAAAAAAAAAAAAAAAACAGTTGACCAAATCCATTAGGTCTATGCATGGCTAATTTATCATCAGATTCCCCATTGATTAAATACTGTGTTATAAACCTTCTTTGACGTAGTCTTATTGAATTAATTAGGTTAAGCGGAATATAAATATTGTACTTGTAGAATAAAAAATCCAACATAAACCAACAGTTTTAGTCACTATTATATAAATAAAATTAGAATAATTTATTAATTTGCAATGAAAATGTATAAATTTATTTTAAAAACTGACAACTGAATTAAATGAACTCGTACAAATTGTCAAATTAGCGTTGACGATTTCAACTGTAGAAGTTCTTTTGCCAAATTAGAAATTAAAATTGATATAAATTGTACAAATTTCTTTTCCTATTGTCTTCAGTTTCAACTTTTTTAACCTGCTTTTCCTGAGCGAGAGGTGATGGGCATTTTGCATGGTAAATCGTGCACTATATGCAGTTACTTCCATTACACAATTCTTGGTCAAATTAGCCTCTAAACGTGCTCCAACAAACAAAGCCATATTCATCCTAAACGAGCTCAATCTAGTCGAGCCGAGTTGAACTAAATTTGATCTTTTTAAAATTCAATTTCGAGCGTGTATCGAGCTGATATTGGTTGGTTAATTTAACGAGCTGATAAACGACTTTGAGTCCGACTCATTTATTAATATCAATAAATCGAACTCAAATTTCACCAAGCAATGTTAAGATAAAAAATAAAAAAAAAAATATAAAAATTCGTAACGTGAGCTTTAAACGAACTCGAGCTACACTAAACGAATCGAGCAAAAGTGAGTCTAACCTTTTGATGCTTGTTAGGTTAACTAATTGATAAACGAGCTCGAATTTGACCGATTTATCAATATTATCAAATCCGGATCTTAACTCGAAAATTACGTATATATTTGTATTATTGAGCTTAACCAGAGTTTTTTACGAGCAGCTCGTTTTATTTAACAACTTGTTTAAAAAGAAAGTTCAATTAAAAAAAATATTTCATTTCACTATGCTAAAGCATCTAAAATTGAATTCAAAAACATATTTCATTTCAGTCTGCTAAAGCATCTGAGCCGTTACCGTACCCACCACTAATTGCAGAGTGAAAAAGGAAAAAGAACAAAACTTTCCCCTTTCACACACACACACACACTGAAAATCACTTTTTCCTGGGTTGAAAAAATTACTCACATTGTAGTCCCTGAACTTGAAATCCACTCCAATATCAATGGAGATGGGCTTTCCACATTCCAATCATGTGAAAGCCTAGCTGCTATATCTCAAGAATTTGGTGTTTTATTTTCTCTGGGCTGAGCTGAATTTGAAGTTGTCACTTTCAAATCTGGTTTTCCGATGGGGAACTGCTGCAGATCTCCGGCAGCCGTTGCGAGGGAGGACGTCAAGTCCTCCAACTACTCCGGCCACGATCACGGCCGGAAGGAGAAGTCGTCCGGCACCGTCAAGAAAGCCATCACCGTCTTAACCGACCTGAAGAAGGAGAACATCGAGGACAGGTACTTAATCGACCGGGAGCTCGGCCGCGGCGAGTTCGGGGTCACCTACCTCTGCATTGACCGGGAGACGAGGGATCTGCTCGCCTGCAAGTCCATATCCAAGCGGAAGCTGCGGACGGCGGTGGATGTGGAGGACGTGCGGCGGGAAGTGGCTATAATGAAGCATTTGCCCACTAATTCAAGCATCGTGAGCTTCAGGGAGGCCTGCGAGGACGAGAACGCCGTGCATTTGGTGATGGAGCTGTGTGAGGGTGGGGAGCTGTTTGATAGGATCGTTGCCAGGGGACACTACACTGAGAGGGCGGCGGCTGGGGTGATGAGGACGATTGTGGAGGTGGTGCAGCTCTGCCACAAGCAAGGGGTGATTCATCGGGATTTGAAGCCGGAGAACTTTCTGTTTGCGAACAAGAAGGAGAATTCGCCTCTCAAGGCCATTGACTTCGGCTTATCCATCTTCTTCAAGCCAGGTAATGTACTGGAAATGGGTTTTATCTTTTATGTTTGGTCAGTTGATATGGTGAAAAAGGTGGGAGCTGGGAACTATTGGTATGTTGATTTGTGTGATATTGACTTGTGTGTTTGGTTGTTTGAATATTTGGATGGAAATGTTTCTATGTTGACTATTGGTTCATTTATTTTGTTTTTTTAACTGGAACAGTACTGAATACTTTGTTTTTTGTTTAATCTAATCTGATGCATCAATGAAACAAGTGTTTAAGAGTTATATTTTAACAAATTATATCATGATGTTGAAATTGAAAGTTAGGTAATTTTACTTCAATGGTTGGGTAGCTGGCGATAGGATATATTGTTATGCCATGGTAGACCTTGCAGTGATGAAATTAGTAGACTCCCTAATACTGTTGCTTTGGATCAATGCGTTTTACGATATGGCATGTACTATAAAATACACATGGTAATGTGTGTGTCATCTTTGGCTGTCGTTGTTTCAATAATTTCAGAATGTTCCACAAAATTCAATTATCTATCACGAGCAAGATTGAAAAGTTCAATAATAATGCCTCAAGATAAACTTCCCTTCATTCATAAATGAACTTGCAATGGACTGCAAGGCAACTAAGTCCCTGATATATCCTTACGGTTAGAAAATGAAAAGAAAAATAAAAGAATGAAGAAAAATAGATGGTGTATTAGGATTACTACTGAGTTATCCATCTGCTCATTTATTTTCTTCTTTTATCATGCATCTTTATTCTCTTTGGGTATGCGTATTTCCCAGAAGATTGGAAACATATCATTTGTTGATGTGTTCAAGTTGTTAAAATCTCGTACCGCAATACACTTTATTACATTATTTATGACTGCAGTTGCATTAACTCTTGCATTACAGGGGAAAAGTTTTCCGAAATTGTGGGAAGCCCTTATTATATGGCTCCAGAGGTGCTTAAGCGAAATTACGGACCAGAAATAGATATTTGGAGTGCTGGTGTGATTCTCTATATCTTGCTATGTGGAGTTCCTCCATTCTGGGCAGGTCCTCTCTCTCTCTCTCTACTCAGCTGCCAGAGTTCCCCATTATATCCTCTTAGATTTTTTTTGTTTTTCGTGTTAAGTGTTCTCAAATCTCATAACCACAGAATATAGAAGACTTGGTGTATGTCATGGGTGATTTTATGTTTGTATGCAGAATCTGAACAAGGTGTTGCTCAGGCCATCATTCGTGGGAAGATAGATTTTGAACGTGAACCATGGCCTAGTGTATCAGAAAGTGCCAAGAGCCTTGTAAGACAGATGCTGGAGCCAGATCCTAAGCTTCGACTGACAGCGAAGCAAGTTCTTGGTACGATAGCTTTACTTTGAGCTACCTTTGATATATACAAAGATTATATACCTTTCATTAACAACTCCACGTGCTATATCGCCTAAAAAAATGCCCAAATTGCTTAGTGATCGATCCATGTCATTCTTTGGGTTTCAATATTTTTCTACGGTTCTTAATTTTGCTCTATCTGAATACTGTGAACTCACAGAACACTCTTGGCTTCAAAATGCTAAGAAGGCCCCAAATGTTCCTCTTGGGGATGTTGTCAAGTCAAGATTGAAGCAGTTCTCGGTGATGAATAGATTCAAGAGGAAGGCTCTTAGGGTTGGTTGATATTTAATATTTATATATTTATTTACCTTTTCTGTAATTTCAGCTTTGGCAAAATAAATTTTAAACTTGCTTCTTTTTGCATATAGGTCATTGCTGATTTCTTGTCTAATGAAGAAGTTGAGGGCATCAGAGAAATGTTTGCTAAGATAGACACGGATAATGACGGCATAGTTTCAACTGAAGAACTTAAGGCTGGTATGCAGAAGTTCAATTCACAATTAGCCGAGTCTGAAGTACAGATGCTCATTGAAGCTGTAAGTCTGCAACTCAATAAACCAATCGCAAAATACTTATCCGAGACTTGAGTATATATTGATTATTGATATACTATATCATTGAAACAGGTAGATACAAATGGTAAAGGAACACTGGACTACGGTGAGTTCTTAGCCATCTCACTACATCTGCAGAAGATGGCTAATGATGAACATCTCCATAAGGCATTCTCGTATTTCGACAAGAATGGGAATGGTTACATTGAGCCCAATGAACTCCAGGACACCTTGGCCGAAGATGGAGTTGACGATTCTAAGGGTGTGGCCAATGATATTTTCCAAGAAGTTGACACAGACAAGGTGAAATGAAATGTTAAAATCTAAATATAAAAGCTACTCCTTATGTTCAGACCAGTTATTAGTACCAGAAACATCATATAAAATCTCAAAAAGCAAGTACTTATTAGATTTTTATTTTTTTTATTACTTTTAATTATTGCATTCTTACGGTATTTTCATCATGAATGCAGGATGGACGAATTAGCTACGATGAATTTGTGGCCATGATGAAGACCGGGACCGACTGGAGAAAAGCTTCTCGACACTACTCCAGAGGGAGATTCAATAGTTTGAGTATAAAGTTGATGAAAGATGGTTCTATTAACTTGGGTGAGCAAAATACACAGTAGTTGTCCTTTTTGTTTTCACCTTCTTTTTCTCTCATTATTATTTGTTGTGGCCTGCCTTGTATTAATTGGGGTTCGAAATGAGCGGTGGATTATGAGGTTAAAGGATATGACGCTGAAGTACATGTGATTAGCCTCTTCAGGGTTTCGATTCAGTGATTTACCAAAGCTCAAATCTTCATATATTCGAACCCCCAACCATTGTGTGTTTGATCATTTTGTTCTTTCACTTTTTGTTAGATTCAGTATGTTTCTTGCTGACAATCACATTAGATATTTGGTGTTGTGGTAAGTAAATATCTGTGCAAAACACTTGGCATTGAATGGAATTTGTGTTGTTCAAGTATTCGACGGTTTAATTTTTCTTTCACCTCTTCACAACTATATTAATGAATATTCCAACTGACATCATCAGTTAATGGAAAAATTATCTTGGCTTTGGGTTCTATTTTAGTTTTTCAGTTCATCAATCTGCAAAAGATTGTGATGTAAAACTGAGATGGGATGGTGCAAAGTAAAGATAGCAAAAAATATCGACAATTGAGATGGGTTGTTGCAGATATAAGTGTAAATGTAAATGTATCAAGAAGTATCGACATTTTTGCTCGGAAGCAAACCAAGTAAACAATATAAAGAGATTTAGTAAGCTTCTCAAATTCAGCTTCAAAGCAAATGTGAGCCTCCATAGATATAACTGATACAACAACACGGCATGAAAAGCCATATGATTCCATCAAAAGTCTTCTACATAAAAGATAAATAATTAAAACCAACTACAGAACAAGATTCCAAACTTCACGTCAAGGGGAAAATGGAAAACATCGACATATGCAGACAATCAACCCCCACAAATATTCAGAAGAAAAAAAAAA